GCAGTGGGGTGCACGGAGCGCAGGGGTGGGCGCAAGGGGGGGTGCAGGGGTGTGCATATGGGGTACAGGGGGGGTGCACAGCACCGCTCCCCATGGCCATCACCTGCGTGCTGCTGCGTATTGGCCCAGGTTCCAAGGCATGAGTCCACCGCAGGATCCGGCCACACAGATTGGGGTGCAGGGGACAGTGGGGGACACCCCTGACGTGCTCTGCGCTGGAGGAAAACCAGCCATCGCCTTCGCTCCAGAACTTTCGGGCTGCCCAAGCAAAGTGGGGCAGCAAGAGCCAGACCTGAGCTGGAGTTGGAGTATGTAAGAGATCGTCACCCTCAGACCCTGGGGATGGTGACCGGAGCAGTCCCGTGGGGTTGGCACCCAGATCCTGGCGCATCCCAAAACCGTCGCACCGGGAGCAGAGCGCCTGAACGCGCGACGGCCAGCAAGCCTTTTGCAGGAGGTTGCTTTTAATCAAAGGAGAATAAAATGAAGCTGAGCTCTTGAGCATTGCAGGTGCTGGTGAGATGCAGGAGAGCCCGGGAGGCAGAAATGATGTTCCCTGCCACGCAATGTCATGTTTCGCTGGGTGTGAATTAAAAACCCCTGATCAGACATGCTTCCCCCCCATCCCAGTACTTAGGTTGTTTGGCTTAGCTTATTAGATCTGCTGCAATAAAATCTTGAAAATATTAAAGTGCATTTGGATGTTTCCTTTAAGCAAATTACCAGGGCAGTTTGCAGAGCGTAAGGCAATTCTCATAATTGTGTTTTCCCAAGTGCTGCAGCGTTGCTGCTGCTCCATCACTGGCTCCTTTATTATTGATGAACTGCTTTACTCCAGCTCCCAGAAAATGACCCCTCGCCTTTAAAGATGTTTTAACCATCTTGAACGCTTTAAAAAACTAAAATGCAACTTGAATTTTCCTTTCTCCTCCAGCTATTAGTTTATTTAGTGCTGCTAATTAGTCTAACTCATTCTCCCCAGGAAAACTTCTCTAAATGATGAGTGAGAAGCAGTGCATCAACAGATGCTGTGAAAATATATTGCATCTCTCTATTTGAGCTACATGACCTGCAGACCCCTGAAGGTGTTCTTGCAAGACCATGCCCCGTGCCCAGTAGCAAGTTTAGGTCCATCCAAAGCATTTCCTACACACCGACATATAGCTGGGAAAGTGCTTTGAGAAGACCAAAGCATTGAGTGCAGTCGTTTTTTAATATATATGTTGCAGCTCCTGCATGCAGCGTGGTGCTCAAAGCCAGGACGAGCAAATGCAATGGGGTGCACTCAGGGGGGATGCAGAGGATGCTTCATTCAAGCAAGAGGGTAGAAAAATCGGTTGGAAAAAAGGATTTTGCTGGGCTAGGAAAAATGAGCTGGTGCTCTGGAAGCCACGGCTTGCAGGGGGAGTGGGTTTTTGCAGATAAACTCTTAAGTCAATAGCGCAACGTGCAACGATCTGCTTCCCCAGCAATAAAATCATTGCGCTGAATCGATGTGAAATGCAACCTCTGCCGAGCTCCCGGTGTTTTAACTCATTGCCCCAAAACTGAGTCGTCCTGCAGAAGTTTTGCACCTCGCGCTTCGTTCTTCCAACCAACCTGAAGGAGTTTCCTCCTAAATTATCTCAAAGTAGTATCTGTGCACACAACCCTTTGCACGCGCAGACGTAAATCATCCACAGGCTTTTGCATGCAGGACTGAGAAGTGTTTTAGGTATGATGCCTGCAAAAAGATGCATCATCCTCCCCTATCATGCACAGCAGTAGTTTTTCCACCATTTGCCTGTATTCTTCCATTAATAATTTCATTTTATATATTCGACCGCAGATTCCCTGAAGCCTGACCCACGGGGCACTGCAGGTTCAATGTGGGTCCCGGGGGAGTTTGCATCTTCGGTGATAAATCATGATGGAGCTGCCTCTTGTAGCTGTCCATAGCACTTCCACATCTTTATCATACTGATAATAATCACAAATGGGGGGGAAAAAGACAGAAAATGAAGATGATCAAAAAGTAAATAGTGTAAGTGTCTAAATGCTGTGTATTTTATCAAAAATACTTGTTTTCACGGCACAACTTGAGTTCAAGCTGCATATTCTGAGCCTTTACCCCTTGATTTCTCCTTTTTGATCACACAAATGTAAGCAGGGCTTGAAGGCAGCTGAGTGTCCTGCAAACCCAGATGATTATAGACAAGCCCAGCTGAATCTGAACATCACAACTGAAGCTAACGGGGGGGGGGAGGTTATTTCCTTAAGTCATATATGGCAAGAAAGTTCC